ACAGTACGGATCTATCTTTCTCTCCCTCTTTCTCTATCTCTTCCTCTTTCTCTCTTTCCCTCTCTCTCTCTCCTTATAAAAATCTCCTTATAAAAATATCATACTAAGAATCATTGATAATTATTTATTTTCAGTATTAAAAATACTGGATAATAAGTAATTATCAATGATTCTTAGTATGATATTTCTATAAGGGTCTCTTATTCTATTCTATTCAATTCTCTTTCTCTTACTCTTTCTCTCTCTTTTATATCGGCTAGATCTAGACATCCTCTAATAAGAGTCTGGCCAACAGAAATCAGATTTCAGAGTGTTTTGATTGATCCGCCATTTTTTCTCTAATCTAAAAGGGTGTAGCTTCAGCGCGAGTGCATTATTATGAATGACTAATGTCACAAACACTGACAAAACATCAATTCGTATAATATTTCAATATTATCCGTGCAGATTTTATTTTGTTCAAACTACAATCAACTTATTTTATGTTTTTACGAATAAATGTATTTTTTTACATATAATGTACAATATAACGTGTAAATGATGAAAGAGTAGTGCGAAGTGACAATTTTACCATTCGATGATAAAGGAAAAAATGAAATAAATAAACAGTAAGATTTGAAAAAGGCATATAAGAAGCAAACACGGATGCTTAGTGCTATTAGATACTAATATTACTTTTTAATATTAATATGATAGTGGGAAGATAATATGTCCAGCATGTTAAACGCACATATCGAAATTTCTTCGATTATCGTAAGCGGCGAATCAACTTTCCATACTTAGATCGATCCTTAAGTCCCAATATATATATATATATATATATATACAGGGTGGACCATTTTAATCCATCCAGTCGAATATGTCGAAAACCAAGCACGGGAGAGAAAAATTTTTCAGACAAAAGTTGTTTGGTTTCGAGGGGACCATAAGATGGTATCATTGCTTTGACCTTGAAGAATTATTTGAAAGTCACATGAAAGTCACCTCAATTTTTTTAAACGGCATCCCCTATTTTTTATTACATATTCTTGTAGCTGACCTCGAGAGCTTTCCAAAACATTGTAATGAAATGTTTCTTCATTGAGTACTTTTCGAGTTATAAAGCTCCAAAGTTGCAATATGAAAAAATTCAAAATATCTCGTAAAGTATTCACTTTCCGTCTTATCTTAC